TTTAGGGAAGCGCCTTACTGGAGCTACCCGCCTCTATCCTTGTCCAGACTAAGGAGCGCCTTACGGGTGCCTCTCGGCTCAAGCATTCTATCCATCCCGTCCAACTCATAAGACCACCCCTTTTCCCATCAAGATCAGGAAATTTAACTTGTGCATTAATAACCTGTACAGTGCTTAGCATCCTTCAATCTCAGGGGCGCAGCTGACAGCCGCCACCCGCCTCAATTATCCTTCTCCTACAACCCGCATAACCTAACCCTGCCAAAGCATTGGTATTAAGCATTAATTATTAGTACTTTTATAGTACTCTGGCAACGGATAACTAAAGTCACAAGAGTCCTTTTCACTCAATAATAAATTTTATCAATTGCTATTTTAACTTGTCCGACCAAAAATTTTATTCTTAAACTCAATCCGTTAGATGCCAAATAAACATCCCGGGGGCGTTAAACAGAAGGTAAGGAAGCTTGCCGACGAGCGGCCCTGTTGTCTCAACACATGGACCCCACCAAACCCCATATAATACAAGATATCACGGGGCACGATCTAGTTCCTCCATCGTACATCAAGTTTTTATTACAAAACAGACTCATAAGCACATTTAAATACGCTCCACGTCCATTACACTCCACACAAAGACACTTTATTTCGGACTCGCATTCTTTATCAAGCTCTTTCAGGGCTCACACACACAACCTTCGGCTGGTTAAACAGCGTTCGACGACAGAAACTCTAGACATAGAATTGATAGATTTAACACAGGACGACACTTTTAACAAGACAGCCACCTACATTTACCAACTGGAATCCTATTCTCTCACTGAAACCCCTCGCAAATTACCGTACCACCTTCATTACTTCCACCGGGCAGGATAACTGTATATTCTCTCAACACTTTATTGTAACGCATTACCAGCAGCTATATAATGTAAACCACATTTGTATTCATTAATTATATAATTATAAGTATTATCACTCATTTATATTACACTTTTAAGTATCATATTGTCTCATTGTTAAATAAAACAATTGTTTAAGTCTCTATTCCTATCAATAGCCATAATCATTATATCACTTACAATCACCATATTTCCCCCTTTCACCATCTGTCCGGAAAAGCTCTCGGCATCCCAGGCAGTGCCGGTGTAAGCAGGTAGGCCTAAATAAATAGAGAGCAGGCGGATCACGATCCCTAGGGAGACGCGAGACGTTACACTCCTATAGTTTTTTCATTTAACAGGCGATAGTCTATTACCATGCGCCATCGTTTATTTCCATTCGAATCTGGGTTCTTAGGAACTATCCACAAGGGAGAGTTATAAGGAGAAGTAGAGTGTTCGATAATATTATCTTTTAGTAAATCGGTCACCTGCTTGTCTACCTCTTCTTTATGGACGGGAGGGAATCTGTATTGTTTTACGTGAACCGGGGCATTGTCTGTTGTAACTATGTAATGATGCGCGGCGTTGGTGATCCCTAAGGTTTCACCGGGAATGTGGAACTTATCAGCGTGATTTAATACTAGTTTCTCAATATTCCGTGCTTCTTCGCAATTGAGATGAGAGAGACGTAGTAATTGCAAAATTCGCGCGTTGCGAGATGAAGGAGGACCAGTAGCGGGATTCTGTAACTCGTTATAATTATAACGATACATGACGTTATGGTAACTATACCGACTTTCGTCGTGTGTAACGAGATATTGATACCGACTATGCGATTCTCTAACTCAGAATAGCGACACTCTGACGTTGCAGAATGTGGTAACGAAACGTCGTTATTTAATATTGTCGTTATGCGTGGAAGAAAAGAGGAAATGACGTATACATGTCAAGTTTTGGGGGAAAATTCGTAAGTTGGTATTTCACGTGGAAAAGGTTATGGATAAATCAGTTGATTTGAAACTTATTATGAAGATCCTGGGCCGCACAGACTCACAAGGACAATTCAGACGAGTGAAAATAGAGTTCCGGCAAATAAAATCGACAAATTATCAAAACATGAAAGGTCCGGTACGTGAAGGTGATCTTTTAACCTTGTTTGAATCTGAGTTTGAGGCAAAATGATTCTAACCAGAGATTATAACCAGAGCAGCAATTTTGATTGACGTAGAAAAAATCATTGCCAGGTAATTTGAATTTGATAAGGTTATTATCTTGATAAGATTATTGTCTTGAACAATACTCGAAAGATCTTAGCTGTCACTTATTATTTATTAAAAAGTTATTAACAAAAGAAATTTTGTTTGACTGTTATTTGATTTTTCCTTTTTTAATAAAACTTTCCTTCCCTTTTTTAATAAAACAAGTAGCAAGAAGGTTAGAGATAACTACAGCAAAGTATTAAAGTATAAAAGTGCAAGAGAGTTATGAAAATATTTTATTGTTAATTGTACAAAAGACAAGAAACTTGGATGAAACCAATTGCTAGATTATCTAAGTCTCTTGTACTTTGTTGTAACTACCACAAATCTCCTTATTAAATTGTGTATTTATTTTTTTATAAATATTTTTATATTATTATATTATTTATATTATTTTTTTATAAATATAATTTTACATAAATTAATTATAAATTAATTTAAAAATATTATTTCATAACAGCAGCATTTTAATAAGTCTGTTCGTTTTCGCTGCACTACTGAATCGATACTATAAGTTACAGTGAGACAAATATAAATTTATATATAAGTTTATATATAAGTCATATATCTTATTGTAATAACTTAAGCGCAATGGCTTCTATATCACAATAAGTATGCAAAATTTTAATAAAATAAATCAATTTCAGGTATAATCTATTACACGTATGCTAATAATTTTTTTTTCAGACAAAATGGAACAGGGATTAAGAAGAGGCAGGCGAAAGCAACGTCAGCACAAATAGATTATATGGTGGACTATTTTGTACAGCATCCACATGTAGCAACAGACAAATTCCAAACTCTACACGGGAACGCAGATTTAAGAGGGTCATGGGAGCAATTAGTCGCTCACTTAAATACTATGGGAAGAAATGGGAAGTCAAAAGATATAAAGTCATGGAAATCGGTAAGTCAATAATATTTAAAATATTATGTGTAATATGCCAGCAAACACAATGTTAGATGTAACGTACATGTTAGTTGTAATTTCCTAATCAACTAAATAACATATAATTGTTATATGACATATATGTTATGTAACAGTTATATTGTTGAGTAGGAAATTACAACCAACATGTTACATCTAATATTGTGTTTGCTGGGATGTAACTACGTTGGATATATTTTCGTAATACATGCTTTAGACATGGCGAGATAATAAAACGGCAGTTTCCCAAAAAGTTGCTAAAATCCGTGCTAATAAAGTTACGACAGGGAACATTGGTAGTCCTCCTATCACACTGACGGATCGAGAAAAAAGATTTTAGGCCTTATAGGACTAGATTATGTGGAAGGTGTGCAATGTCCTGATTCATTTCCAGAGGAACAGGTAGTGAAAAAGTTTTTAATATAACTGTAATCATTTTTCTAATATAAAATATATCTAATATAGAATATTTTTATTAAAATATATTTAGAAATTTCTTATTTCATCATACTTAAAAATTTGAAATCTTTTTTTTTGTTTGTGATGCACATAAAATAATATTGAGTACATGTTTATTAAACAGTATTTGCTTTTTAAATGTTTATTTCAGGGAGAAGCAATGCATTTGCTTACTGCAGGGGACGAAAGAATTTTAAATGATATTCCAGAGTCATTAACATTAAGAAATAACGAGATTATAGAACATGACGTTAATTATACAAGTAACATTTTTTCTGAATACATTGTAAATGTCTCGATAAATTATATGAATGTGTTAATCAATATTGCTCTGAAAATGTATAAATGCAGCACTCCTTACACTTTTTTATTTCAGATTATGAAGTGCTACATGATATGGGAAATGTTATTGAAGAAGGGTCATCTTTCAATAATATTCAAACACACTCACAAATTCAAAATGTGGAGACTGCAGATTGTCATCGTGAAATAACAGAACCACCATCCGCTATTCAAACTGATGATCCACAACGGCTCACAACTGTAACGCAAAGTTCGAGCAAGGAGCGAAAAAGACCAAATTACAAGGAGTAAGTATTGCTATTGATATATACCTATTTTTTTATAACAGCTCAGTTTATATACGTAATATTTTCTTTCTTTGTAAGACAGTGAACGATTGGGTATACAACTGCACAATGCCAGAGAAGATTTTGCGATCCTAGCCGAACGCCAAATTTCATGTATGGAGATAAGATCTATCTGTCATTCTCAGAATATAATTTCTTTGGAAGAAACGTGTTATTAACTCAATGCTTTAAACGTACTTTTTTTATGTTTATTTTTACAGATGTTTGCAAAGGCAATGCAACAAATTGCGGATAATGAAAAAGAGCGAAATGAATGTCTACGTGCCTTTATAGAAGCAGAAAGAAGTAGAGAGACAACATATTCCGAATTATTAATAATAATCAAAGATTGTGTTGAAGTATTAAAAAAAAAAAATCTTTCACATAACTAGTCCGTATTTTGATCAGTATTTTATTCTTTTCTTTTAATTTACTATTATTTTTTCTTTATTACATTTATAGTTTATAGACAATAAGGGTTTTAGTTTGACAATAAAGTTTTTATACTGTTTGCAGAAAGATGTTTATTTCAATAATATAAAATTTTAATATGAAAATAAAGCTTTAATATATTTAATATTATATAAAACTATTTTATAAAAAACATTATATAAGATAATGTAAAATTTTAATATAATTCATTTTTTTAACTTTAATATACATGTTCTTTTTTTCGTTAAAATTGTTATCCTTTACACACACATATTTATATAAATATTTGTAATTGAATTCAGACGATGAAACATTTATTCTGAGTCACAAAATGTTTATGGCTTCGAAAGCCATTCGGAATCAATATTCTCATTTAAAGCGTCAAACAATAGGGGATAAGTAAAAAAAACATTTAATCATTTTCAGCAGGCTCTTCATCTTGTGCATCTCGATAATTAGGAAATCTTTCTCTCATAATTTGGCGTTGTATTCTTTGAGCTAAAGCGCGCGGTCCTCTTTGATGTAGATCTTCGTTATCAATGAGCCCAGTATTTTCATATTCACCATTATCAGCAGCTATTGGTGCTTCCAATTCTTCAACAGGCAAACGGTGTTGAATTCTTATATTATGTAGTTATATTATGCATTATACTGCACATGCATTAACTATTTTTGCAGCAAATGCTGGCCTATACATCAGCACACGCTGATAGGAAAGACATCTCCATACAGATTTGAAGACACCAAAAAAACGTTCAACAACGTTTCTTGCCTTACAGAGCTGTTGCGTATAATGAAATTGTAGGGTACTTTCAGGAAAATCGACCAATGGTATCATGAGCCACGGTTCCAAAGGGTATCCAGCATCGCCTAATGAAAAATATTAATATTGTTACGAATATACTGAATATTTCGGGAAATAAATAAAAGGTTAAAACTACATGAAATCTTAATTATTCAAAAACAATGAAAAAATCTTGTTTTTCTTTCTTGTGTACCAAACGTTATTTAGTATTATACGACCGACGTGTGACGGTCGAACAAGGCGTCGATGTGAGCACACGGCTGTCACACAGAATATTCAGTATTTATAAAAATATATAAGATCTTATTACAGTTTTTTATTTTCTTTTGCAAAGTTCTTCGAAGTCCTTATTTTCATAAGGACTGAAGGTTCATAAGGACTAAAGGTTCACTCACCGATCAGCCAAGTTTTCCGTTCTCCTCGATTATAATGAAATTCTATTGCTCGACGAATTGGTGATGTACTCCAGATGTATGAGTCGTTTCGTGCACCTGGATATCGTGGATTGATGTTAAGCAGCTTCATATCTGGATCAACAATCTGAAAGTATAATTAAATAATGCTAGAATTAGACAAAAGTTTTGCAGGAAAACCAATTTATGTACTTCCTAAGTGATTAAACTTACCGCTTGCACGTTCAAAGAATGGTGATCGTGATGATTAATGAACGCCTCTTCATTTTCATGAGGGGCTATAATATGAATAAAAGTACAGTCTATAGCAGCGATAGCACTTTCGAATGAGTAAAAAGTAGCGGAGAATTTTGCACGCGCTTGCTGTCGATTTTCTTCGGTCATCGGGAATTTTACCCATCTACGCAGCAAGCGCCGATTAATCGCTTCAGTTACGGCATGGAGGCAACGGCTTGTTGTTGATTGGCTAACAATCCATTGGAATTGATTGCCAACGCTTCTTTGATAGCTGCCTTGCGCATAAAATTGTATGGCTATCAACACCTGTATTTAATGTTTCAAGATTATGTTTCAATATTATAAATTAAATATTATAAATTATTATAGTTTTGTTCCAATGTTACCTTTATTTCTGGCACTAAGCCAGTAAGTCGTTCATTATGTAAATCAATCCTTAATGCAGCTGCAATGTCGATTACCAGTTCAGGAGTAAGGCGAAAATAGTCAATGAATTCATCTCGTGGGATGTGAAAAGGGTTTTGAGCATCTCTCAGCTGCCTTCTTGCCACACGCCGTTCTAGTCGACGCACTCTTTCAACCACTAATCCTAATTCCCACGCCAAATAGTCAAGGGCCATGTCCTCTTCAAATAAATCAACTTTTAATATACATAAGCTTAAATGCCAAATATGTCGATTTTATGGAAATAAAAATTCTTACGAGTATATAAATAAAAAAATCGAAAGGAGAAGAGCAAATTCATATTAACTTAATACAACGTTCAAAACATTATATAAGAATTAAGATGTAAATATACATTACTTTCTGAAAACCAATTATTATAAACAACGTCAATTTTTACTCACCGAATTCCTTAAATGTTAATTTTTCTTTTAATATATGTTTACGATGTATACATGTGAAGTCCTTCTTAAATGAACACACTCATCACTTCGACACTTCAGACGCTTCTAAACATTTTTAACCTTTAACTTATGGTTTGTTCTTTTTAGCTGCTGAATTGGTGCAATAAGTTAGAGTGAGGAAAATGTACTTGTCTCACTCTAACTTATTACACCAGATCAGCAGTACAGTTAAAATGAACAGACCACTACTGTCGTTATGTGATCGTTACGCGTACCGAGGGGTATCGAACCATGCGTTATGATAGCGACATATAACGACATCATACCGACGATTTTCGTTATGAATAGCGACAATAGTCGTTACCATTCGCGTACAGAATTGCATTTGACGTTATAGTGTTGTAACGTTATATAACGAATCGACAATTGTCGTTATGAGCACATAACGACGGCATAACGAGTTACAGAATCCCGCTACAGCGGCCGTATCAGACTCTAGTGCATCAACAGCACCGCAAACGATTGTACCTAAGTTACTAGTCGCGTGCGTATCCGATAAACAGTGAGAATAATTATTACAGGAATTGGAATTGAGTGGGCGGTGTGCATGAGACAGAGGACCAGAGACCGAGGGATGCCCTAAGGTATCGCCGGTACCACAGACATTTACCGTTCCTAAGCAAGGTTCTGACTGTGTATCCGTTGTGTTTATTTGATTCACGAAATTAAAACGAGATTTAAAGTGTTTAACTTGTGAGGATGTGTGTTCTAGAGGACCTGTAGCATTCGCCTGTCTGCAAGAGGCGTCAGCACCGCGGATCGCGTCAGTACTGAGTACGACCTTCCCGTGGTATCCGGTGTACGTGTGCGTTTAAGAGGACCTGAGGCCGTGCGACATTCTAAAATATCATCGGCACCGCAGCCGGGTGACGTGCCTAAACGTTCGCTCGATTGCGTATCCGGAGTGTGTAAAAGAGTAGAAGAAACGAGATCGGAATTAGGAACCTGATGTACGGCACCAAGAGGACCTGTGGCTTCTGCATCGCGGAGTAAATCTATACCTAGGTGAGAGATTTCCGCGATATCCGGTGTACCGTAATCTTGAAGTTCCGTTACCGGAATTGGAATAGTGTGTCTGTATTCTGTGGTGTTGAATATAGGAAGATGGCCTTTGCCATTAGAATTAGAAATAAGGGCGTTTCCTAAATAAACTCCCTGTGCAACATTCAGGAGAGGAATATAACCACTGGATTTCTCAGGGTTAGAAATAATGACGTGGAAAGGAGCGACGGTACGTGGTTGTATCACAAAGGATTCTTCCTCTATGAAAGGTATACTAATTTGTTCGCACCGGACGCGTTTATTGTGATAATCGATACTTGCGTTGTGTTGTTTAAAGAACTCGTTTCCTAAGATTCCGTGTTCTCTAAAAGGAAATTCATCTGGCAGCACGTGGAAGTTAGTAAGTTTCCCGAGAATTGTAATTTGTAGACATCCCATGGTAATTATCGGTTTTAGGTGAGATGCCTTGTAGAGTCAATTGTACGTCATTATTTACATGCACGCCAGAGTCTAAAAGATCGCGTCGAATAAAGTTCACGGCGATCCTGAGTCGATCATAAAAAGAGCAGTTTTGTTAAGATTCGGCGACGAAAGCATGACGTTCGGGACGTCTCCTGAGATTGTATTAAATTTATGCGTTGGAGGTTCCGGGTTCCTCCTGAAATTGAACCAACTTTGAATAGGACGCCCTGTCTGTTCCGTCTGTCGCGGCGGCATCGCTCTGGACCGGACACGGGTCGCGTTTTCCGGAGCGGCGGCTTGCGCGGCGTGCTTGTATTTCTAGTGACCGCCTATAAGCTAATTTACGGCACTCGGACATTATGTGTCCGGGGGCTTTGCAATAGCGACATAGAATAAGTGAAGGGGCATTGGGACCTGGTTGCCCTGGAATCAGAGGTTTCACGAAGGGGATTGGCGATCGCTGCAGTATTTGGCGAGGTTGATTGTTTTGATAGGAGGGGTTAAATTGAGGGCTCGAATTGAAGGGTTTGTGTCCTGTCGCGCTAAAGGGAGTGGTCGATTTGGGAAAGAAGATTTGCGCCTACTTGTCTCAGTCTCTAGTGTTTTAGATAATGTATGGCTTTAGTAAAGGCTCCTCTAAGTCTTCGTATCCCTCGAGTTTAACCCGAATTAGTAAATCAGACGGTAGCCATTGACAAAACTCTCTAATGTGTCCCTGTCTACAGTGTCGATTATCCATCTGTCTAAGTGTCGGTTTTTTTAAATTCACAGTCTAAAATGGCTGTGCGTAATTCTTTTATCCGCGCGATATAATCAAAAATTGATTCTTGAGGCTTCATATACGCATTGCCTAATTCGCCTCTATATTGATTGAGAGATTTATTTGGCCCGAATATTAATTTTAATTTTTGCAATAATTCCGCGACGCTATCATAACGTGAGCCTTCTACAGCAGTGTATGCGTGTCCTTGCAGTTTACTTAAAATTAGTTGACATAGGTAAGGTTCGTGTGACGTGGTATTAAATCGAGTGCTCTCTCGCATGTTTTACAAAATTGGAATACGGACATCCGTTGTCCATCGTACTTAGGAATTGAATCAGCTATATCTTTCAAACGAATAAATGGGGCATCGACAGGTGAATTTGGAGGAGGAGGGCACGTGGTTGGTTCGTGATGACGCGGAGATGCCTGTCGAGGACTTACTTGTGGAGTGCGTGCGTTAATGTGTTCGCGTTGGCTTTGCAAGGAAGCTACTTGCCTATCTAAATGCTGTATTGTGAGGGTATTTCTCTGAGACTCGCTAAATCCCGTTGCATGATTTCTATTAGTTTGACTAAATTTAATATGTCGGTAGGAGAGCTTAGATGTGTCGATTCCCGTGCTTCAATTTCTGCTTGTCGTCTTTCTAAATCTAGCTGTTGCGCCTGAAGGGCTTCGCTTTGTTCACGTATAATTTTCTCCTTTTCGCCCATGCGTTTGGTAAGAATGTCTTACCTCGATCGCCTGTCCAGGGCCTGTCCCTGTTCTTCTGATTCTGATTGCGACTTGTCCGTCCCGGACAAAGATTTATTTGAACGCGTATGATATGCCATTGCGAAATGAAACTACGAACTATATTATGCAAAAGAAATGCTCCTAAGAGTTCGAGAAACCCCACGAGTTTCACCTAAATGTACGAGGGTTGTAAGAAAATTCTAACTTCTAAAAGAAGAATGTTCTAAGTATATACAAAAAGTTATCAACCTATCTCTAGGGATAAGGCTAGGAACAACGGTAAACAAGAGGATGCTCCTAAGAGGTTGTGTAAGAAACGTAAAATGTTCCCCCTATTCCGAAATTTTGGCCTATCCCACCGCTGCCACCAAAAGTTGTTGTTTGTAACGTCTCGCGTCTCCCTAGGGATCGTGATCCGCCTGCTCTCTATTTATTTAGGCCTACCTGCTTACACCGGCACTGCCTGGGATGCCGAGAGCTTTTCCGGACAGATGGTGAAAGGGGGAAATATGCTGGTTGTAGGAGAAGGATAATTGAGGCGGGTGGCGGCTGTCAGCTGCGCCCCTGAGATTGAAGGATGCTAAGCACTGTACAGGTTATTAATTCACAAGTTAAATTTCCTGATCTTGATGGAGAAGGGGTGGTCTTATGAGTTGGACGGGATGGATAGGATGCTTGAGCCGAGAGGCACCCGTAAGGCGCTCCTCAGTCTGGACAAGGATAGAGGCGGGTAGCTCCAGTAAGGCGCTTCCCTAAAAGTGAGCAAGATCTATGCTTAATAATGTAAGATTCAGATTTAATGGTTAATGAACTATAAATTCCGCTGGCAAGAGATGTTATGGCACCAATTGATTTAAGTAACTGAATAAAAAGGACAAAGATTTATGAATGCTTAATATCTTCCTTTCAAGAAAATGTTCGAATAAGAGGAAAAAGGCTGCCGATAAAACAAGGATGCTGCATAAAATTAAAATGCTTAGTAGAAAATATTGAAGAATTGTATGCCGATGCAATGGCACACGTCTACACATACACAATAAAATCAGTTACAATTCAATAAATGCATATACATATATATATGTGGGTGGGGAAGGATGCACTTCATGAAATGATTTATATTATTCCAGCTTTTATAATGGATAATGTCAAGATCTTGTCGTTATTAAGAATATACTTTCGTCTAAATAAACAATGAGATTGTAAAAATATTATTAATCTGAAACCTTAGTAACTTGATTGTTTAATATAGAATAGTCTTTACGGGTAATAGTAATAGCAGAACGCAGTATATTTTATATGTGCAAGTGCAGGTTACAGTGGAAACAGTGGGAATATTATATCAAGTACATAATTATACATGAAATTATAAAGGCATATAAATGTCTTATAACTAAAATAGCTAATGAGAGAGATAGATAGAAGGCTAACATGAAGGAACGTCTCTGTGAGTCCTTGTTACGAGATAATTGTAATTTTTATTTTTATTCAATGTCTATTAACGAGGTGAAGGCCTAGGAGGTTGGAGTAAGCAGATTTTCAAAGCAGAGTCTCCGGCGTAAGGAATCCGCCTGGAGACGATGTCAGAGTGGTGGGATGCCACTGCTGATAAGGATTCTGACTATACCAATACGGCTCTGTGCTTGGCACCGATGCCGTGCGCGCGTAACCCTGTGCTTAGCACCGATGTCATGCGCCCGCAAGGAGGAATGGAAAGGGAATAATAAGTGTGTGAGCGTAGTTCACTGCGTTGACAGACACTGGGGTTTCGTAATCACGATTTAGAAAAAGAAGAATCTGAAGATTGTCTCTCTCTCTCTCTCTTTATATATATACTAGCTTGTATAGCGTATCCTAAGGAAATCGGAACGAAATTCTAAGAGCGATTTGACAAACTAAACGTAGATAATACACTATTCGGATTATAATGAATGGTCCTTATGTAAGGCAGTTACGAACCGACATGAACGAAAATTTCAGCGTGACGCTATGGTATCTGTTAAATAATTCGACTTGGCGTATGGTGAAACGTCACTGGTTCACTCGCGTAACAATGTTCCTAAGGCTTAGATCGCGATTGTATTTCACTTGCGCGAAACGCGGTGTATGTGAGTGTTGTGCATTAAAATATTATATACTTACTATTTATTTCAGTAGCTCAGACTTTTGCAGAGAAATCTCAAAGAACAGGCTTTTTTATTCCAGAATACTCTCAGTACTGTTGGGACCACTCTAGCCACGGCACAACTCGAGCGGGGAGTCGACTTATCCGCACACTTTGAGTATTATAAAACACCGTGGATGTTCTGGCAAGTTTCCTAAGAAATCTTCCAGATTTTGAATAGCACAA